GATACCTGCTTTCGCAAAAGCCAGGTGCGGATTGTGACTCACCTTGCGAGTCGATGCTGTCGCTTGTTCAGCAGCAGCGGTCTGAAGCTTCTCGACGAATCGCTGACCATCGATCATAAATGCTCGGCCAGTCTCCTCTTCCCAGCCCGGTATCGTCCTGAGCAACTCGTCCTCCAGCTTTGGCTTCAGCACTTTGACTCTCTTCCTAATCTTTTCCTCTTCCAATAATTGGCCCGGTCTAGTCTTTTTCAGCCTTTGAGGATCTTGCGCCGCTTTCTCCAGCGCCTCGCCCTCTGCGATCAGGTCCTGATACCGGGCGACCATCTTCAATAACGGCGCTTTGCGATCCAGCTCTTGGTTTGCCATCCTCTCGTACACATCGTGCGCTTCTTGGAGCTCATCGCTGGGAGTTATGCCTGTGCCGGACCCATCATCTAGATCAACGAAGAACGATGGGAAGGCGGCGCGGCGCTCAGAGGTAGACATGGCCAGCTCATCCCACAGCTTGGCGATTCGCTCTCTAATACCACCAATGAAGGCTGCCATGTTCTGCGCTTTGAGCTCTCTCATACTGGCCAGCTCGGAGACGTACTATACAGGACCCGTTGAATGGTATGATCAGCTAGTGCCACGGCGCATCGCCACGGCACCTCTGCATACTCACAGCTTGTACGCATGCATCCGTGGAGCCCGAGTTGGCCAGCACAAACTCTTCCATCTCGGCCTCGGACACTCCGAAGCGCTCCCAAAGCACAAACAGCTCGTCGTAAAGTTCTTGAATCCTGGCTTCTCTCTTCAATCTTTCAGCCTCCAGTGCCTGCCTGAGCTCACTAGCGCGCTTCACGTTGCTTGGGTTTGGAGCTAAGACGTGCGAAGGTTGCATGAACGAAGAGCCCCCATGCATGCTGTTGGTGGGCGTCGCAGAGGGCGAGAGCGTATCGTCGTTGATATCTGAGATGGACTCAAACGCTCCCTCCCATATCTCTTCATCGCTAGGAGGCGTGACTCGAAGTCTCAAGTGCGACAAGATGCGCGATTCAAAAGTGGCTTGACCAGCCTCGTCGCTGAGCGTCGGCATGATGCATAGCTCTGACCATTGGTGCAAAATGGCGAGCAGATGCTCTCTCAACTCTTCGGTCCGTGTCGAGTGCTCTTGCTCTGCCGCTCTCAGAGAGTCGGTCAGCTCGGCAAGATAAGAAAGAGGCAAGTAGTCCAGGCTGCTAGCAGCGACCTCGCTATCGCGATTGGACGCTGCCGAGTGACGCGATGATCGACGCGCTTTGCTACGCTTGGGCTTGGCGGGAATGGATGGCATGTATGAGTCCAAAAGGGGCGTGTATGCCGACAGTCTACCTTGGAGAGAGAGCGCCTGAGCGGTGCGAGAGTCGTGCTCCTTGCGCACATCGCGCAGTTGGAGCTCCAGACCTTGAAGACGAGATATCAAGGGCTACAATACACACACGTGTGCTTAGCGTTACATCAGCAAACATGGCAAGCGTCGTCGAGAACGCCACCCTTGACTCACCTGATCCGCGCCATTTTTGAACCTCGAGTCCATTCCCAGAGCTTCTTTGTGCTCCGTGATGCTCACTTCCAACTCCCTACATCTGTCTTCCTTCTCTTCCACATCAGCTCTGGCCTTCTTCAATTGGGCATCCACAGCAGCTTGTAAGGCGTCGCGAAGCTCTTCGAGTGTCGAAGCGAGAGCCTCTTTAGGCGCTCCTAGCTTGTGGTGCAAAGCTGTCAAGGTGGTGGTGGACTCGCTAAGCAACGCACTTAGCGAAT